CGACGTCAGGGCCCCGCGTCTGTAGCCGGGTGGGGCATCGGCCCCGTCTGGAACGTGAGCTGAAGCAGAGGGCGGGTGGTGCGGCAGCTCCGGGGCGGCTCAGAGCCCAGCCAGGGAGCCACCCGCGGTGCGCGGACACAGACACCATCCGGAGCTGCCATAGCAGGTGGGCCGTGGACACTCTAATAAAATGAAGAAAGCACCTCACCACCTTGAGCAGAATAAGTAGACCATGTTTTGTGTGACCTCTTTACCCTGCTTTTTCTTTCTTTTAATTACTTGATTGATTGATTTGTTTTTGGCTGCGTTGGGTCTTGCTGCACGCAGGCTTTCTCTAGTTGTGTCAAGCGGGGGCTACTCTTCACTGCGGTGGCTTCTCGTTGCAGAGCACGGGCTCTAGGTGTGCAGGCTCAGTAGTTGTGGCACGCGGGCTCAGTAGTTGTGGCTCACGGGCTCTAGAGCGCAGGCTCAGCAGTTGTGGCACGCGGGCTCAGTAGTTGTGGCTCACGGGCTCTAGAGTGCAGGCTCAGTAGTTGTCGCCCACGGGCTCTAGAGCGCAGGCTCATTAGTTGTGGCGTGTGGGATTCAGTACTTGTGTCGTGTGGGCTTCAGTAGTTGTGGCACGCGGGCTTAAGTAGTCGTGGCTTGTGGGCTCTAGACTGCAGGCTCAGTAGTTGTGGCATGCGGGCTCAGTAGTTGTGGCATGTGGGCTTCAGTAGTTGTGGTACACAGGCCTAAGTAGTTGTGGCTCACAGGCTCAGTAGTTGTGGCGCACGGGCTCTAGAGCTCAGGCTCATTAGTTGTGGTGTGTGGGCTTCAGTAGTTGTGGCACGTGGGCTTCAGTAGTTGTGGCACACAGGCTTAAGTAGTTGTGGCATGCAGGCTTAAGTAGTTGTGGTGTGAGGGCTTCAGTAGTTGTGGCTCATGGGCTCTAGAGCACAGGCTCAGTAGTTGTGGCATGCGGGCTTCAGTAGTTGCAGCCCGCGGGTTCTAGAGCACAGGCTCAGTAGTTGTGGCGTGTGGACTTCAGTAGTTGTGGCTCTCGGGCACTAGAGCGCCAGCTCAGTAGTTTTGGCATGTGGGCTTCAGTAGTTTGGCATGCAGGCTTCAGTAGTTGTGGCTTGTAGGCTCTAGAGCACAGGCTCAGTAGTTGTGGCAGGCGGGCTTCAGTAGTTGTGGCTCTCAGGCTCTACAGCGCAGGCTCAGTAGTTGTGGCTCATGGGCTTAGTTGCTCCACGGCATGTGGGATCTTCCCGGACCAGAGCTTGAACCCGTGTCCCCTGCACTGGCAGGCGGATTCTTAACCACTGTGCCACCAGGGAAGTCCCTACCCTACTTTTTAAAAGACTTTCATTCCCTATGATTTAATAGCACAAATTTGCAGTAAACAGAAAACTAGGTCGATTAGTGCACCTGCTGGGCTGCTGTGTGCATACCGGTGTATCTAAAGGGCATGGGAGATGTCCCAGAAAGGCTCTTTTTTCTCTTCTGATAACTCTGAAATTTATAGAAAACGTTGCTTACTGTTTATAGTTCTCTACACCCTTCAGTTTTATTGTTGAATTTAAATTGGTGCTGTCTTTATTGGAAACAACTATAGTTATTTCCTTATTGTCTGTCTCTTGCACTAACGTGTAACTTCATGAGGGCAGAGGCTTTTTCTTGTGCACAGCACTTGCCTTGTAGATGCTCGGTGAATCATTCCACAAACACTCTGACAGCAAAAACAACTAAGTTTTCATTAGTCCTAGTGGTCTTACAAAAAAAAAAGAAGATACAGTTGTTATCGAAAATAATGCAATGTCATTCTGGTATTTTTTTAGCTTACTGGAGAACACAGAAAAGGAAATAGAAAACAAAAATACATTGGTGATAGATTTATAACTTAGGTGAAGACCAGCAAGTGAGTATATTTGAGTACCTAATGCTGTTTCACACAAAAAATGTTTTGCACCTCCAATAATTTATCTCAAACATAAAGGTAAAAAGGTTATTATACTTTTCAAGTGTTACAGTATATATAGTATTCTTTTTTGAGACTTTACTTAAATCAGCTAATCAAAACAATTTCTATATCAGCCTCAGTAATGTCTTTTAAGGCAGACCGTTTGTTATACACAAATTATTTTTATGCCCAGGGAAACTTCTCTTTGTGTAATATTTAATAGTAGCCAAAGAAATGCAAATTCAGCTAGCAAAGATGAGTAAAGATTACAGAATGGTAATACCCAAGGATGGTTAGGGTATAAGAAACCTTTCTGACATGTGTTAATTGGTAAGACGTTTGTGGAAAGCAGTTGGAATAAGGTTGTTTAAATATTTTTTCAAAGATTTCTTAACAGATAATGAACATTGCCAGCTAATATGCTATACCTTAAATCGGCGATTCGATTTTTAGCTATTTATCTGAAGAAATTTTGGATGGGTACACATAAATATCTGTGTATAGTTCAGATTATTTATAAAAAGGAAAAATTAGAAAAAACATACATATCCAGCAGTTAGAGAAAATTAGGTAACTAAATAGAAAATGTCCATAAAGTGTAACACCAGGATATTGATCTGTTGTTTTGGGAAGGAGCTGATACATTATGTGAAGAGGTCAAATAACAGAACAGCGTGGAACGGTTCCCTTTTCACAGCTTCTAATGCACACGGAGAGAAATCTAGATAGATTGAAACTTTTAAAATACTTATCTTTGGACAACAAAATTAGGAATGATTTTCTTTTTATTCTGTTCTGTTCCCTAAAATAATTGTAGCAATAGTTTGGACCTCATATACCTCCTAAAAGGTCTCAGGGGTCCCTGGGGTCCACAGACCACTATTTGAGCACTGCTGTTTAGTTAATGGTTTCAAACCTGACTACACACGGCTGCCTCCCGGGCTCGTGGTTAAGAGCTTCACCTCAGCTTCATTCACTTCAGCATGCCTAGAGCAGGACTCGGGAACGTTCTTTAAAAATACATGTTCCAGGGCTTCCCTGGTGGCGCAGTGGTTGAGAGTCCGCCTGCCGATGCAGGGGACACGGGTTCGTGCCCCGGTCCGGGAGGATCCCGCGTGCCGCGGAGCGGCTGGGCCCGTGAGCCATGGCCGCTGGGCCTGCGCGTCCGGAGCCTGTGCTCCGCAGCGGGAGAGGCCACAGCAGTGAGAGGCCCGCGTACTGCAAAAAAAAAAAAAAAAAAACATGTTCCAGGGCTTCCCTGGTGGCGCAGTGCTTGAGAGTCCGCCTGCTGATGCAGGGAACACGGGTTCTTGCCCTGGTCCGCGAAGATCTCACATGCCGCGGAGTGGCTGGGCCCGTGAACCTGCGCGTCCGTAGCCTGTGCTCCGCAACAGGAGAGGCCACAACAGTGAGAGGCCTGCGTACCGCAAAAAAAAAAAAAAAAAAAAAAAAAATACCCAGGTACAGTGGTTGAGAGTCCGCCTGCCGATGCAGGGGACACGGGTTCATGCCCCGGTCTGGGAAGATCCCATATGCCGCGGAGTGGCTGAGCCCGTGAGCCATGGCCGTTGAGCCTGCGCATCCGGAGTCTGTGCTCCGCAACGGGAGAGGCCACAACAGTGAGAGGCCCGCGTACTGGGGGAAAAAAAAAATGTTCCAGGTGTATCTAAGTGTATATATACTTAGAGATCTCAAACCTGTATGTCTATAATTTTAATTCTTAAGTTTAAAAAATTCATTTCAAGTGAATGTTTTAAGTGAATGAATATTTATTTTAACGAACATTTAATGAACGCTTCCTTTGTACGGGCCTAAAGACCATTTAAAACACTTGGTGCGTAGTACAAGAGTACGTGTAGGCAGGGTATCAGCTCTTGGGTCGAGACGCGCTGCTAAATCGTCTCTTTTCCTCTTGTCTGCACCCCCCAGTATTCTCTGCCACCCTACGTTGCTGTACTGGGTACTTTCAACCAGGAACCCAGGAGGTTCTGACGTGTAGTCACGTTTAAAACCATTAACTAAACAGCAGCTATCAAACAGTGGGGTGTGGCCCCCAGGGGTGCCTGCCCACTTCCCAGGAGGCCTGTGAGCTGCAAACTCTGGGTGATGACAGGGTGTTGTTCTCACACCAACAGCACAAAGGTGGAGGCAGGTAAGCCCTGCTGGAGCCTCAACGGGGTTGGGGCAGTGGACCTGGTGGGCAGCGGACCGTGGGTTATCACAGCTGGGACGTGACGCGGGTGTCACTACGGAGGCCCGTGATGACACAGTAAAGGCAGATCAGATCCCTGCTGCTGGGCACGTGTCTTCTTAACATCCTGCATGACGGGAGGGGAGGTACGGAAAAGGCACTTCGGCGCACTTAGGTGTTAGGGTTTGTCTCGAGGAAAAAGGTCTTGTGAGGCCGAGGTGTGAGCTCAGCTTTTTTCCACTTTGCTGAAGAGAGGGACTGGCAGACACTGGTTACTCTGACATGAATGTTTGGCCTGCCTTGTCTCAAACAAACCAATGAAAACAACGGACTGTGTTTGTTGCCAGTGTTAAAACTTAAGATTTCAAAAGCAAACATTAGAATTGGGGAGAGTTGTAACCACCCTTGTGAGCTTGACAGCTTCTCACTTCCTGAAGACTTCGCTAACGAGGTTGGTGGTACTATTAATGAATGTGGTTTTTTCATATTGTGATAGAATGGAGTAAATCAGATACAGTGAAAAAGGTCACTCTTTGGGAGATCTGCATAACTTAGTGAACCAGTGTTTTCTGCATGACCACTGCAGGACTCACTCAAGGTTCACAGTCTCCCATTAGGTTTAATGGGACAGCACAGAACATTCTGGCTGTTTCCATGTGCACATTGCAGCAGAGTATTGGATTGTAGGTTTGAAGCTGAGAGACAAAAGCTTAATAAACTGGAATGGAAGTGGTCCTATAATGTGATAAGGATGAGAAGACCAGTACCGAGGGCCATCAGGAGAGGTGGACGTCTTCTGACAGGGTGTTTCCCGTGGGCCTGACGAAGGCGAGAGCCTCCCGGGAGGAAGGGTGCTGTGGACAGAGAACAGCAGCCCCGGGGCCCTGGCGTCGCTGGTGTGCTTTGTATGGTTGTTGTAGATAGAGCCTCTGGATACGCGGCTGGTGAGGTTGAAGGTGAGGTTTACTGTGATGCTGTGCTGTAATCATGAGACCGTGATTTTGGTGGTCTTGGCTTCTGTGGCACTTTAATCCACGCACACTAATTCTGTCAGCTTGGGTAAGTTGATTACGCTTTGTGCCTTATTTTCCTGATCTGTAAAATGGGGATCAGGAGAGCACCCACAGCGCCCAGCCCATAGCAGACTGCTGAATGTTAGTGGTGGGCAGGAGCGGGTTTCCTCCTGGGAGCCTGGTAGTGGCTGCAGGAAGGGGACCAACTGTGTCCAGCTGGGCACTGTTTCCAGCTCTTCCTTTCACTCTTGCTCTGATGGCAAAAGTCTTTTTTTTTTTTTTAATTTTTATTGGAGTATAGTTGATTTACAATGTTATGTTAGTTTCAGGTGTACAGCAAAGTGAATCAGTTATACATATACATATATCCGCTCCTTTTTAGATTCTTTTCCCATATAGGCCATTACAGTGTACTGAGTAGAGTTCCCTGTGCTGTACAGTAGGGCCTTATCAGTTATCTATTTTGTATATGGTAGTGTGTATATTGTCAGCCCCGATTTCCCGATTTATCCCTCCCTCTTACCCCTGGTAACCATAAGTTTGTTTTCTACATCTGTAACTATTTCTGTTTTGTAGATAGGTTCATTTGTACCTTTTTTTAGATTCCACATATAAGTGATATCATATGATATTTGTCTTTCTCTATCTGACTTAGTTCACTTAGTATGACAATCTCTAGGTCCATCCATGTGCTGCAAATGGCATTATTTTGTTCTTTTATAGCTGAGTAATATTCTTTATCCATTCCTGTGTCAATGGACTTTAGGTTGCTTCCATGTCCTGGCTATTGTAAATAGTGCTGCAGTGAACATAAGGGTGCATGTATCTTTTTGAATTAGGGTTTTCTCCAGACATATGCCCAGGAGTGGGATCTGGTAACCCTAATTTTAGTTTTTAAAGGAACCTCCATGCTGTTTAACGTAGTAGTGGCTGTACCAGTTTGTATTCCCACCAGCAGTGTAAGAGGGTTCCCTTTTCTCCACACCCTCTGCAGCATTCTTAACATAAAATTATTTCCGTAACTGGCAATAATACGTTGTACTATTCACATACCTTTAAAAAATATTTTGAACTGTGCTTTCGTATCAGCTTATAGAATAGTTTTGCTTTCCTTTTATATTTTTAAAATTTATCTTAATGCAGATTTGAAGGTAACATTGAAAAGAATCTGCTGATGCTTAAGTATTCTAAACATCCTCTGGCTCTTTAAAAGTAGAAAATCCTTTTTGATGTCTCCACACTCTTTTCTTCTGTTACAACAGACTTCTCCAAGGCAGTAGGTCGATCTGCCGATCTTAGCATCAAGCGATGCGACAGGAACTTGGATTAACCTCATTTTGTTAATACCCTATGTCTTTGTTGTAGACATTACAGAGATAATACAGACAAATCTTGTTTGCTGTTTCTGTGACTGGCAGCTGTTTATTAATAGTGCTTTTCTCTTGCTTGAAGAACCTGTTTGGGATTCTGGGGGGCTCTGGTGGTGGTTCTGCACTCTTTTCCTT